AGGGAGGCCGTGGGTCTGACTTTCTGGCAAGAATTTGTGGGTGTAAAGAGTGTGTCCAAGAGACGTCATTTGCATTTCATCCTATACCCTGAGCCTTGCCTGCGTCTGTTCCCCAGAGCTTCCTTTGACGCCTGCCAGTGTTAGTAAGGTGGTATGAGTATTGGGGAAGTTCCTGTGCCTGCTCGGTTGCAGGTTCAGTGACCTTATTACTTTTTGAATTTAAAAAAAAGGATTTCGTAAAAGAGGCGGCCCCAAAGTTTCATTTAAAGCCACAGGGCACTGGTGAACTGCCACTAATTTGGAAGCTTTAGGCTTTCCTCCACAGTGCACCAAGAGATGGTTTATCTGAAAAGTCTCTATCTGGCTCTGCGTTCTGGCATACCCTCACATTGACTACATGGCTGTGGCCAAAAAAGTGGAGATAAATGCAGTGATGAGAACTGATATCAGGAGCTGCTCTGAAGACACCCTTACCCTGTTTTGGATGGTAGAATTCCTTCTCTGCCACAGCTACCAATACAGAAATATCTTCATCCTATTTCCAGTACGACCCCATGTTTTAAAGGGTATTTTAGCTCCTGTGAATATCAAGTAACAGAACTAAGTGATCGCAGAGCTGAAGCATAAATAGGAGGAGGAACAGGCAGCAGCAAACCACTGACACTTCAGCTGAGACTTGGCAAGCCCGGCTGGAAATGCTTGTCCCAGCAATACACGTCGCATTTGCAGACTACCTTCAGGATCGCCTCTGTGTACAAAGTTTATATCGTCACTGACCTATTTTATTTTTTTTTGCTGACAGTGCAAAGGCAAAAGTTTAGCGTAAAGGCCATTTCATATAGTTCTATATTTTCCTGGATGTGCTGATATACACAAACGCCGCCACATGCTCACTCATTTTGTAATGAATTGGGTCTGCAGCTGACCTGTGAGTTTTAACTTTCAGTAGGAATTATGCTTCTAAGTCATTGAGACACTTTGGAAAAATGCTATCTTTTAGTAAGATGCCTGTCTACCATGCTGTAGACAGGTCGTATGCTTACGTTCAGAAAACAGCCAAACTTTGTGACCTCTGGAAGAATACAAAACTGTTCTGTTTCCAACAGGAAGGGGCAATTCTCCCTGCCAGTGGAGCACCTATGATGTCCCTTGAGAAGAGGTGTGGAAAACCCATGCTCTTTAGCCACCATGAATTGTCCTCATCTTTGGCAAGATATTTTTTTCTGTCCCTATATTTTTGTCACAAAGGATTTCATGACTTGCTTTACTTGGAAATAAGTAAATCCTTCTCTGACTAAAGTTCCAAATATATGAAACTTGTGAATGAATTTGAAGATGGCAGAAACCACCTGCAGTGCTTTTCCCTTCTGCATATCACTGTTAATTTTCAAGGTATCTAATATGGTTTTGTTCAGAGTTGACCTTAAAGGTGATAAAACTGTAGTAGTTCAGTGCATGCTGACTGGCAGTGCTCAAGCTGGGATAGTCACTGAAACCAAAGGTATATGCTAAAGCGAGGTGTAAAGCAGCAGTAACCCATGAGTATGCTGGAACTCATCAGTGGTGGTGGTTGAGCGCTCTGGGGCAGGACATGCTTAGTGCCATGAGTAATTACAACGTCACTGTATATTGTTCAGTAATTAGCAAATTCTGCTAAGAATCTCCATTTTAAATGGTCTCTTCACTGGCTTTTTGTTCTTCCATTAAAAAAAAAGTTGTTCTATAATGATGTATTTATTCTGTGATATATGAGACATATATGCATATATATAACATATATGATATATATAATGATCTATGATATTTACAAACATCATGTAATACAAATTATATATCATTTGTATCTATATATTGGTATATATCATATATATACAAATATGTATGCACATACATATACACACACACACACATATATATGTGTGTGTGTGTGATTGCTTCAGGACAGTATCTCACTAGTTAAAAGAGGTGAATGAGTGGAGCACAATATGAAAGTCTTGTTACCATGTTGTCTATCGAGTGTCAGGAACCAACCTGTCCCCTTCACATTTTTACTGAGCCTTCCTAGGATAAACATAGGGACTATATAGAATGTACTAGGGAATGGTAGATGAATTATTCAGAAAATTACCAAGGGCAGGAGGCTTTTTGTGTTTTCATGCATAGAAATCAGGACTGGATGGTGTTCTGTGAGATCTATGTTAGCCAAGCACAAACTACTAGACTTAATAGAGGGAAATAGCTGGGTGAAATATTTGGACTGTGGTCCAGATCGTTACTGTCTTCAGCCAGCGTGCTGGCCTTTTCTGGGGCTTAAAGGGAAAGCTGAACTCTTGTGCAGGCACTGCCTTTGCAAAATCCTTACCCATTGGTTCAGAAAAAGATGCAGAAAACTTCAAAATGTGTAATTTCCCTGGTGGAAAACAAAATGCAAGTTTCGTGTAGCTGCGAGAGCGATTTCTTCCCGAGTTAGTGCCTGGTTCTTCATTTCTAGGCAAAGATTTTGATTTTTCCATTATCATGACCTTTCCAACAGTTGGCAAAGAAAATGCCTAACAGCCTCTCAACAAATAATATTGTTCCTGATTAACTCTGAACACATTTACTGCAAAACAGGAGCAGAGTGTTCCAGGTTAGCCCAGTCCATGCTATGCAGGGGGAAGGAAGGCACTTCTGTTTGGAGCAAGAGTACCTACATGTTGTTAATTAAGAGCAACTCCTGTTTAGACAAGCCCCCAAGAAAACTGTTCTGGCTCGCACACATGCAAATACAGACTGCCTTTATTTGTTGTAAGCATGAATAACAGCCATGGATATCAATTTGCAAATATTAAAGGGTTGCATATGCCTGTTACAGTTCACAGGCAACCTCTTAGCAAATTTGAATCCACTTTAGCAAGTGAGTGGAGATAATTAAGGTAATGCAATTTCTGTAAGTTTTATGAATATAGGCAAAAAAGTATATAGACAGACCCTATAAATGCTCTGAGTGAGGAAAAAGGTTGTAGTGGGAACCCCTGTTTTTTGACATGACAGAAAACTTGAAATATTTATAAGCCTACCAACTGCAGGAAAGCCTTCAGTCAGAATTTAGGACATAAAAACTCATTTCTGGGGCTCTTGGCTACTGGCTTGTTTGTGGAATGCGAGACCAGTCCTGGCACACTCCTACGCGATATTTGGACAAAGACTTTCATAGAAGGGGGTTTCCCTCTTGTATCAGATTAACTCCATCCATGTAAACTTACACTGATGACTGAAAGCTGGGTCGAGCCATCTGCATATGTATTATATGCTCTTTCCCGAGTTTTGTTCTTGCAGATTATTGTGTGAAAGAAAACTGGATAAACATTAACAGAACCTGGAATATACTTAAATGTAAAGCTCAGTCAGACATACTGATAATTGCATGTTCTAGAATTAATACTGTGTAGGCTTTTCTTTCTAAGTATGGGAACAGCTGTTAGAGCACATCTGGAAAATATGCTTTAAGCAAAGGTATTTTAGCTCAGAGAATTTCACAATGCATGGGATATTTACCAGCACTTCTTTCCAGAATACTAATCTGATTTATCATTATTTTTAATATAAAAGTCTTTGGTTTTTTATGATGTTTGCAAAGCTCGTTTTGAATTCATATCACAGATTGGCCATTCCAGTATAGTTCAAGGCTAAATGCTGCAAAACAAAAACATTGCTTTTCTACTATTTTTAGGTAGAAGCCTACATAAGTCTTGTCTAATACCCTAACAATATTTTCTTCACTGATTTCAGCCAAATATTTTCCCTTTCTTTGATTCTAAAGAAAAGTAATTGTTTCATACTGGAATCACATTGAGAGGAAAATTGGTTGGACTCCTGCTCTGTGCTTCTTGAGGCTCCTTAATGTCCTTCTGCGCGATCTCCCTCCCTAGAAAATAGACATAGTTGTACCCCCTACAATTATTATAGCATTACTCAGAACGTCTTTGAAGTCAGTGAGAGTGTTCACAAGGTAGGATCCTGGCCACTTGGAAATGAACGGCAATATTTCTATTTGTGATAGGAGCCCAAGTGTTGTGGTTTCTATGCTTTCTTCAGAACTGTTGTATAGACATGGCACTACAAAACCAGAATTATTAAAATTATTAATTAAAATGGAAACAAGAAAGCAGAAAACTTTAAAAAACTTTAAAAAAACCTCTATCCATTAATTTATTGATGATGTTACTCATTTTGTTTGTTTGGAAAAAAAATGACAAAAAATAAAGACGCAGAACGCCAGAACCTTTACTAACAAGGTAATACTGTAATCAGGAGCTTGCATTCTGACCCAAGCATCTCAAAACCAGCCAACCAACTTGCTTTCAAAATGATGGGGGAGATTTTGCAGATAAATAGCATTTACCAACAGTTTTCCCAAGTGAGAAATCAGTTGTCCTTTATTTGGAGTAGGAGGCAACTTTTTAATGCTAGATAACATTGTGTTGGAACAGCTTTGTACCTGAATTCTAAATCATAAATGCTATGCTTGTTGTGCAGCTGGAGGCAAAATGAGTTACCCAACCAAGGAAGAAACTACAGCTAAAGAAATGAATGAGATTAACAACAACAACAACAAAATCTACGGCAGTGATACCACAAAATAAAAGAGTAACATGGAATATATTAGTGGTAATGTGGGAAAATTAATTCCAAATTATTGACAGTTTAATTGACCTACAGGAAGCATTTTAATGGGCTTAGTATGCTGTGCTGTTCTTCATTATTTAATCTTTTCCACTGGGCAGAAACCCAGTTTTTCCAAGGATGGGGTTTAAAGTTGTAACAAATGGTTGCTGTGGATTGCCTGGTGGTCAGATGCCAGTGCTGGCCGTGTGACCGAGCCTCTTCCTCCTCCATCCAACGCCTGCAAAGCCCATCCTGTGAGCAGGGCTTGGGTGCCTCTGCTCCACTCTTGTCCCAGTCCTGCTAGTTACAGAGGCTCTTTGCAAATAATACTCACAAGGTGATTTGACCCCCAGGCTCCGACTGCATGAAGAAAAGGTCATTAAAGATCGGCGGCACCACCTCAAGACATACCCAAACTGCTTTGTTGCCAAAGAGCTGATCGACTGGCTGATTGACCATAAAGAGGCTTCCGACCGAGAGACGGCAATTAAACTGGTGCAGAAATTATTGGATCACAGCATTATCCACCATGGTAAGTGCAATATCAGCTGCTAAAAAGTTCTAAGCTAAACTTTATTGACTGCTGTGAAGCAAAGGCAAATCCCACTCCTGCTCTTCAACCACGTATAGGACAGGTAGGATCCTTTCCCTGCCAGAAAGGGAGCATCTCCCTTGAACTGTCCTGCTCTGCAAGGTCCCCTGTGTCCCGAGGGACACGGAGAGGCTGAAGAGGCGTGGAGCGACGTTCCCCATGTCAGTACAGGGGGGCCAGTTACTGGAAGTTACTGTGCTGCTGCTTCCCTGCCTTCAGAGCAGCCCCAGCTGGATCCTGTCCCCTCTCTCCCCGCTGCCCTCACCTCCCTGCTCCCCAGAGCACAGTTTTCCAGCTGAAAAACCCATCTGAAAAATCAGCCGGCAGAAAAAGATCATTTTTCTCACATGGATTAGTCCTTTGGCCCTGTCCCTCACACCAGCTGCACAAACATTAGTGCTGGTACAGCTGCAAGAAAGTTAGTGGTCCGACTGTGCCCTGATTAATTTTCTCCTAAACTTGTTGTCTATTTGAGATCTGTTCCTTTCAGCTTCTTGAATAACAATTTACACCGATGAAAAGGAGACTTCCAATTCAGTGGTAGCATTTAGTTGCCTTTTGGTGCACAAAAAGGCTAGGAAGCACACAAAGAAAGAAGATCCAAGGCCTTGATTTCAAGCATATAGTATTACCCATTTCAAAAAGGCAAAATGTACCATTTGTTTCTTTTTTAAGAGAAAACAGAGCAACTGCAAACAGATGAATGTTGACTTTATGCAGGGGTCACTGTATGTGCAGCAATACTGCTGCTATCTGCAGTACATTAACACCACCTTAATTAAAGGAAGAAATGCACATATTGAATGAGTGCCACTTCTAGAGCTTCTGCTTGGCTATTAAATTAAAATTCTGGGTTGTTATGGAAACTGGGACTCATGGTAGATAGTTAAAGAATAAAGTAATTATAGGGTATTCAAATCTGACTACTTAATAATCTATTGCGAAAATGTCAGTGAAGAGTTGCATGGGTGCCTGAGTGACTTCATTTAATTGAGCAATAGATGTTTTATTGCTGAATGCTTGTTTAAAGCTTTAACAACCTTCAAATGTTTCCTACCTCAGGATCCAATTGCATACTGCAACTTCCATACAAATTTTATATATATGTGGGTATATGTTACACATAGAACAGGTGTTTCTTAAGAAAAACAATGCACTCAAAATATTGCACTCAAATTTAATAAATTTGTTTGTGAAGTGAGCTAGGGCAAATTCAGAGAGATTCAGTCAGGTTCTGCAGGATGCTCAGAGCATCCTTTCAATTCCTGTGTCAAGTGAAAGGGGTATCAGTTCCTGCTCCTCTGGTGCAGAAGGTGAGCCCATGTATGTGGGCTGACGACTCCCCTAGGAGCAGCTTGGTTGGGATATCTTTCCCATTAATTCATGCCCTTGCTGGAGCTCTGTTCCGCATTTACAGGAGCCCATCGTCAGCTGCTCTCTCGTAAACTTTATTTAGCATTTTGCATTGTGCTTCTGTTGTACCTACCATTTGCTAGCTGGCATGGCAGAGTGATTGAGACAACTTTAAGAGGGCAGAAGGTTTTGGTTTTGACTGTTTCTGCAGTGAGTCTCAAGTTTCCTACAGCATCACTCAACTGATACAAGTAACTTTAAGTTTGCCGATCCTTAAATTATTGGGTGTTCTACACTGGTGGCCTTTTAAACAAGCTAACCAGCTGTTTTCATCAAAAGGTTTTCCAGGTATAGAGCAGATGGATGCTTTTTTGCTCTTTATGTTTGCAGTAATACTCACAAAACTGATGAAATACCTATCCCCCTCACCTAGAAATCTGGTTGCCTATCTGAAAGTTTTTGCCAGCCTTTCATCAGGTATTAGAACTGAATAAAGTTGTATGCTCAGAAATACAGGGCATTAGGCTCCGTATGTGCTTGCTTTGAAGTTCAGCAGTGATACCTGCTAAATGGATCCTCAACTCCTTAACATCCCTATGAAATTTTTTTTTATTTTACCTTTCAGTCTGTGATGAGCATAAGGAATTCAAGGATGTTAAACTGTTCTACCGCTTCAGAAAAGATGATGGGACATTTCCACTGGACAATGAGGTGAAGGTCTTCATGAGAGGACAAAGACTGTATGAAAAGTACGTTGTATTCAGTATGCATAATGTGTTGCTAATAGTACCACAGGAGGAAAATTATATTTGTTAATCTATTTTTGAATAGTCTTTCATATCATGCAGGAATGGGTCTGGGTAATCCTGTGACTTTATTTGGTAACCCTCCTCTCTCTCCCCCATTTCCCTTTTGCTTTTTTACCATGTTGACTTGTAGCATTTTGTTTAAAATCAAATCACTTTTTTTTTATGTTCTGGGTTGTAAATACATCCTATATGAGAACCCAGAGTGAATTTAAGCCCTTGAACTGTATTCTGTAAAAATAATTACTAATGGATGATTTGTCATGTAAATTTATAATCACAAGACCTGAACCTTTAGTACATCAACATGTACTGAACAAGTGACTACATATCTGTTGAGACTCTGTGTCTTCACCAGGAGGCAGGAGTTTAAATAATAGGTGAAATTAATCTTCAGTGTTCCAGTCTGCAAAGCTTCTACATCAGAAAGTTTATATTAAATGTAGTTTCAAAAAAATCCCAGCCAAGAACATCTAATTAAGATTTGAAACAGAGGATTATGCTGAGATACTGAATATCCCACTGGATTACTTCCATCAGATAACTAGGCAGCTTAACCATACCTCCCAATCTATAATTAATCACATTTTTATTCAGGATGTAGAGATTGTGATGCAGTACTTTCAAGCAGAGTGAATAAAATGCATGTTGGCATATGTTACAAACTAATACAAAAGTTGTGATACTTTATTTACCAAAAAGCTTAAAGTATTGCTCCAGACTGAATCCCACCCACTCTCCTGCTTGGTTAGAGCAGAAGCATGCAGCAGCTAGGAGAGATGCTGTCTTCTGGCAGGCTTAGTTTTGTTTCCCTCTTAGAATAAAGCACTCAGGACAATCGCAAGTTTAAAAGCTGATGATAAATACTGGTTTCAAGGTTAGAAGGCTCTGAAGGTCAATTTGGTGAAAGAGCAATCAAACTGAAATGTAAACCAATAATTGTAAATGCCACCTCTTTTGTTGCACCCAGTGACTGTGACTATTTAAAGTAAAAAAAAAAAAAATGTATACCACATAAGAAAATACACCACTAGAAAAAAATCCTTCATTGGATGCACTGGGACAAATAAATTAAATCGCTTATCTCCAAAATCTCCCGTGCCTTACTAAGCACAGCATTTTCTCCTTTAGACTCTGTAATGCACAGTGGCTGCAAGCCTGGCCCATACTATGAAAAGCCGATTGGTGTGTGTACAATAGCAAACCTTTTTCTTTATTTGTTTTCTAAATTTCTGTTTCTGTTCTTCATGAGCAAAATAATTTTTTGTTGGTGAGGCTGATAATAGTCCTCTGCATGAAAGGAGCCATGGTGGGAAGAACTCTATTCTGCCTGTGTCTTCTTCCATCCCCATTTCTCTGCATGAAGAACTATCTCCAAACCAATGTCTAGTGTCCAGTTTGTCCAACACTATACTAGCAGAAAAATGTTCGTAACAGTATAGATCGTTCCCATGTTGGAAAAGGAGTTAATGCCAAAAGCAGCACCTATATCTAAATATGACTGCATCCTCATGAGGTGGTTGCTCCTAGGCAACGTATCTAAAGGGTTCAGAAACTTCTAAAACCAGCCCTGAGTGCTAAATATAGTATAGATTAAAAATACATGGCATTTCAAAACCAGTCTGTGACAGTCAAAGCTAGTCAAAATTCTCCATGGATCATTGGAAATATTTCATATTCATGGCAGATAAGAACACATACCTGGGCTATCTGGGCTTTGCTTTGTTTATTGTAGCAAATAGAGTGTGCAGAGCACTTGGATTTCGTTAGGTCCCTTGTCCATTTGCGCTTATTAGCAACACCTTCACAGTTTCATTGGATGCATTTTAAACTCAAAATCTAATACTAGAAGTCAGACTACCACAGAAAGAGTTCTCCAATGAAATGTGTGTAAGTGTAATGTATCTGTTGAATCGGTTTGCTTATAGTGTTGAGAAAGAAAATATTAATTCAGTGCAATTAAAATAGTTATTAAATGGCAACAACTGGAGAAAAGTATTCATGCACAGACGTGAAGTGACTTACTGGTATATCCAACTTCTTTATCAGAATGCCTGTAGGCCTAATTTCAAGAGAAATGCAACTATACCAAAGGAAATCTATCTGAATCCAACATATTTTAAAAATCTGTGTCTCATTTTGTAGGTGTTGTTGATCTTCACTAGGCTTTGCTAGCTTAAGATACACATTATAATACTATTTCCTGCTCTTCTCCACCCACTGCATTAGGTCTGGAGTACCATTACATTCAGAAGCCAGCGTAGTTTGTGCTTGCCAAAAATTGCGGAGATGTTATCCAACATCAGTCCATGCAAATCAGTACCTCCAAAGGGTAAAATGAGCAAAATGCTTTAGGAAGATCAGCAGGTTGTTGGAAGGGCAGAGGAATGGATGCGTTAGGCAGGTTCCCTGCGTTCAGACAGCTGTTTCAGGTAAATGCCCCATGCTCTGCTCTCAGACACGGGAACATTAGGTCTGTCCCCATGGTGAGGCGCTCCCTTTCCCCGTCTCCCTTCTGTATGACCACAAAGGTTCTTGTACCCTGGATTCTCCTCTCTTGTGGCATTACCTCCTTCACCTGCTGTGGATGTCTTCGGTGGCTGTACTTTTGCCATTAGAATCATAGAATCATAGAATCGTTTAGGTTGGAAAAGACCTGTAAGATCATCCAGTCCAACCATTAACCTTACATTACCAAGTCCACCACTAAACCAGTTAAGGGTAGAGTAGCAATTTTGTGTTTCCTGGCTTGGTGGCTGGATTGTTTTTAATGAAAGTAAAAACTAGGAATCATTAAGGTTGGAAAGGACCTCTAAGGTCATCAGTCCAACCATTACATTTACTGTGTCCAGTTTTGGGCCCCTCACTACAAGAAAGACATTGAGGTGCTGGAGCGTGTTCAGAGGCGGGCAACGAAGCTGGTGAAGGGTCTGGAGCACAGGCCTTATGAGGAGCGGCTGAGGGAACTGGGGTTGTTTAGCCTGGAAAAGAGGAGGCTGAGGGGAGACCTTATCGCTCTCTACAACTACCTGAAAGGAGGTTGTAGTGAGGTGGGTGTTGGTCTCTTCTCCCAAGTAGCTAGCGATAGGACAAGAGGAAATGGGCTTAAGCTGCGCCAGGGGAGGTTTCGACTGGAAATTAGGAAAAATTTCTTTACGGAAAGGGTGGTCAGGCATTGGAACAGGCTGCCCAGAGAGGGGGTGGAGTCCCCATCCCTGGAGGCGTTTAAAAAACGGGTAGATGTGGCACTTCGGGATATGGTTTAGTCTGGTCTACCCTTGATTAGTCTAGAGTGGGCTTGGTAGTGTAGGTTAATGGTTGGACTGGATGATCTTAAAGGTCTTTTCCAACCTAGATGATTCTATGATTCTATGATTCTATGATTAACCCAACACCACCATGTCCACTAAACCATGCCCCAAAATGCCACGTCTACCCAAAGAAGATGTAAAATCAGTCTCTGACTGTATTCTCCCTTCATTTGCACTAAAAATTGTAAATCAGCTCAGATTCCCTGCACATCATTGCAAACTTTGGTAATCCTTTCTATGAACATGCTTTTAGTTTCAAGTTTATACCTAGAGATGAAACCTACTGTTTTTTCTACAGCTTTGTCTTGTCTGAAAATTGTTGGGCAGTTTATTAGGTCCAAAGATGGTATCAGTTTTCATACTCTACGGGACTGACCAAATAGACCGAATGAGATAAACATGTTTCCTGTTCAACAAAACTCTCCCTGCAAATCTTAAATAAATCCAGCACAGACCTTTCATAGCTTTAAAACAAAAAAATCAAGTTGTGCAGGCATCCTATTTTTATAATGTTTGCAATTCTCAGTAGGTTTTGGTCAGGCACACAGGATTGTTGTGTTTCTGGTGCAGTCAGGTTTAGGAGTCATCTCATGATGTGGACTTCAACTGAGATTTTTCAGTCAGATTTCACAGTGCAGATTTATGGTTTTAATTTCAGGAAATCATTCAGATAATTCTGAGACTGTGTTCATTGAATCACTTTCATTTTAACTCATCAGTGGTTAATTCAAATTTATCCTCTGGTGCAGTTATTTAGATAAAACAAGGTTAAAATTTTCTTTTGAAAAGGGTTTGAATTTCAGTGTTTGGCTAAATACATTCCCTTAATGCAGGATAACACCAGTTTTAGAAAATAATATGTTTTGACATGAATGGCCTCATGTTTTTTTGAAACAAGGAGAAAATGGAAGAGATAGAGGCAGTTTCTGATTCTGGCTAATGAAAAGCCAGGTTTTTGGCTGATGTAAATTGGTACAGCTTTGTTGACAGCCGTGGAGTTACAGTGATTCACTTCAGTTAGCGATGTAAGTCTATGGATTGCTGCTTCTGGGTTTGTTAAACTGTCAATTTGTCGTGTCTGTTTGTTCACAAGTCCAGATCCTTTGCAGTGCTATTCTGGGCACACGCAGAAGGGTGTGAAATGTCAAGCTGAGTGTTTTTCCACTTGATATTTTTCCAGATTTCTTTTGTGTCTCTGTAAAAATCTAACAATCAGCATCTCTTTTTCAAGGACCTCTCTATCTTCGACTTCAATGAGCTGGTCAGGTAATTATAGACGCATCAAAGAATAATTAACACAATCCTAAGGACTTTTTATTTGGTGCCCGCAGAGCCTGGGTAACCAATTCTGGGTAACCATGCAGCAGATGGTATGAAAAGACACAAGCTTTGTGTTTGCTTTTTTTCCGGGGGGAAAAAAGCCTGGTGAACAAGACACATTTAAAGATGGTCCCTTGGAGCTCTGTCTGTATTAGATGTGGTTAGTGTGGGACAAAATGTTGCCTTGCATGCAGATGCTTGTAAATCAACATTTGAAAAAGAATAAAGTCTTTGCAAGAGTTCTGGAGTCAATATGTTGTCCCCCGTGGCCCATACTCTTGCTTTTGGCCTCATCCCTGACTTCAGCTAATTTTGACTTTCTTAGCTCTTACTCAGCTCAGAGGTGCTGGCAATGACGCACCAACAGCTATCCGGGCAGTTCGTTGTATCTGCCACTGACATACAGCTGTGGTTGAGCAGCCTTTGCCTGGGTTGATGATCTGCTGCCTCATGGTCAGAGACAGTCAGTTCAGGCTTCTGGTTAGCTCTCATTAAAGTCAAGGGAATAAATCTTTCAGGTGAAATAGCAGGGGCTGGATCTTGCCAAACCTCTTCACTGTAATTTCAAATGAAACTTCTCTCTGTGTTCTTACGGCACAGATTTTTCTGATACCTCCCAAAGGAGGTGAAGTTATAGTCCATGAAGTCTGGACATGCTGGCATTTTAAGAAAGAGATGGCCCAAGTATGGATTCACATGAAATTCAAATTTTTGATCAGAAGGACAAAGATTAAGCTCTTGCAGAATATTGCTATTGTAGTTCAGTTGTGCCCTTAGTTTCAAAATAGTTGGTGAAGGGAGGGGACTTATTAGTCTCACATGGAAGAAATAACTATGCCATTCTTGAGCTGTTATTCTGAAAGTCTTACCACTAGTCCTGTTAAATAAAATAATTACAAAGCAAAATGAAATTAGTAAATGAGGAGGCTATGGTGCTCCAACAAAACAAAAAAAGGTGGGATTCTGAATTAAAATTCTGTATTCTCTGTTTTCAAACTGCCTTCTCTTTCAAACTGTCAACCTTACTTTTGCATTAACAAATTACCGAGGCTTTTTTTTTCTTTTTTTTTAATACTGTGTCATTTGCATAGGTTACTTAAATGGAGAAGAATTTTATTAGTATCTTTAAGCTAGATACATGTCAATTGCTAAGAGGTTTAGAGACACCTCAGGATGTTCCTCTGAACTCTGGTGTTACATGGAGGCAGCTGAGGCACGGAGACTCTGAGAGTCAGATGTTAAAATGTGTTCAGGTGTGTAACTCACTGATTGCAGCTGCATCACTAGCACTGGACGCTAAATATTTATCAACCACCCAAACCACAGAACTACCTTTTTTTCTTCTTGAATTTTTCTGCAGCTGTTTCAGAGCTTATGGGGAGAATTTTCAAAACCATCTAAATGACTTCGGGGCATAGTCCTGCTAACTGCAAAAATTAATTAGGAATTTTTGAACACATTAGTCACAATCTGGTGCTTTTAGGCTAATTTTGCTTTAAAGTTGATTATGATACAGTAACTTTTAGAGAAGCTAAAGAACTAAATAGGGGAAATGTGAAACTGAAAAACCTTGGGTTTTTTTAAGGAAAAAACAAGAAAGCATTAACTTCACAATGGGATATACAGCCTAAATGTCTTGACGGAGCAGCTATAATTCACATCCTGAGTTTAGATTGATAGCTTGAGGAAAGATTTAGTAAGTCAGTGAAAGGTTCACACATGTTTCCTTAGTATCAGTGAGATTCGCCAGAATAGATCCGGAGTTGCTTTTCTGAAGAACCATTTTCCTTACCAATTTTTTTCCCCCCATACCAGGCTGATGAGTTCTGAAAATACTCTTCTGCAAGCCAGGGAAGAGGAAGGAGTCAAGTACGAACGGACCTTCGTGGCATCGGAGTTCATTGACTGGCTGATCCAGGAAGGAGAGGCCACGACACGGACTGAAGCAGAGCAGCTTGGCCGCAGACTTTTGGAGCACGGGATTATACAGCATGGTGAGAAATTTACTGCCAGGTAGCAAAAGCTACACTTTTTGTAGCACTTTCTTCAGGTCAGATCACATGGAGGGGCTCTTGTCTTGGTCATAATATGTCCAAGTTCTAAATAATTTCAAATCGGAGTCTAGGTAACTTCATTTAATAAAAGGGTGGCTTTTTCAAAAGCTCTTTGTATTAGTTCTGAAAATTCCCAAATGCAGAATACAGCTAGAATTTTGGATTGTATAATAACAACATAAGGACGTGGATGAAAATCAACGCTCCTACACTTGTGGTAATTAACTTGTAGAACTTGTTATCAGCGATATGTATAATTGAGGTAAATAACTTTGTAAGGATCAAGTAGGGATTAGAGCCATATATAAGCTAAATTCTCTATGTAGAATAAAAATGACAGGTTCTGTATATCTTCCTGCTTGAGGACAGGAGCAGAGCACAACCTGGTGCCAGAAAAGCAGCTTTCCCTCTTGGTCATGTTGCAGAGTTGTTCTAGTGTGTCTGGGCAAGAAAGAGGGTATTGCTTTTGTCTGAAGTGTTATTATATTTGTCCTGGTGGTGTAACTTCTTTGAGGAAGGAATCGAATATTTCTTCATGGTCCAGCACAACGTGTCTGGCAGATGCACCTTCACCAAGGAGCTCCCTCTGTTAAGGGTGGAGGAGACTGTTTTCTCTCCGTACTGCCCCGAGGGTGAAGAAATGAACACCCCTGGCACCAAAACCCATTTTACATGTTGTCGTCATCTACTCTCAGTGCAAGCTGCCCTTTTGTGACCAGGCGTTTTCCACCATGAACGCGTTGCAGTGCCTCTGGGAGTGATGAAGGGGAGCCAGGAGATGACAGAACGAGCTGGCAGAAGCTGTTAGCTATGTTGCTTAATGCACAACGGGAAAGTAATCAGATCCTGGTGATCTGAATGTTGTCACATCAACACTAATTCTGACAGAGAACAAACAATTCACGATATTAACAAGTTGTTAATATACAAGGTGCTAGATTGACTAGGTTGGTGGTTGCTTTGTGAGAAAACCTAGTTTTAAGGAATAGAAAAAAATGGGGGTGTAAGTGACCTGCACAGTTCCTTCGTGGTTGTAATCATGCTCACATTATCTTTAGCTTCCAATTACTAGGAGCTACTTCTGAATGTTGACAGTAATCAGCTTCCAGTTCTATAATTACGCCTGTGCTTCCTATGATTTATAGGGTGCCAACTGCATGGAGCTTGACGGACAGGGAGGGTATGCCACCCCTCCTCTTTATAGCAGCAATGATTTCATTCCTATTTTTACCTGAGCATTTTCTGTGTATCATATACAAGGTAAACTTTAAACTTAAAAAAAAGAAAGAAAGAAAAAAAAAAGACAAAAGCAAGATTTATGCCCCTATTGACATTTTTGCAGTGGAAATAAAGTCAGGACTTGACATTTGGTACAAAGCTGGATTTACTTTGCTATTGAAATCTTTGCAGAGCTAAGAAAGTCAGGATGTGGCTTTTATTGTAGATCAACCATTGTTTCGTTAACTAAGGCAAATGCTCAGCAGTGCATCTTGGCAAGGAAATAATTTTGCCCCCGTCAAGCTGGGTTTCTGGGGGTATTCCTGAGTGACTCTGGCCTGCTCACCTTTATGGATTGCCCTGGCCAGTTTTGCAGATTTATCCCCTGCTCATCCTCTTCTAGCAGTCAACAGCACATGCAAAACGCCCTGTTAGAAAGAGATTTGAAACTCATGAAGTGACCGCAAATGGGATGCTGGGAATTGGTTGATTGCTGAGGAAGTGGCCTTCTCACTCCAAGGTGCCATCATCTTCCTCACTCAGCTTTTATCAGGGCAAGGGTAGCTCAGTGTGAATTTCACACTGTCTTGATGGGGAAGCTGGAAGTAAAATAAAACTGAATTACGTCCTTGAGATTTATTTTTACAAGTGGACATGCATTGTGCACGCTCCTGAACAGGAGATTTAATTCTCTGGATTTCACTGAAACAATTTGTCTAGTCTTAGGAATTTTGATGAAAGTACTAGCAGAATTAACGCAGAGCTGGTGTGGGGTTCATCTTAGCAAGTGGATATGATCTGTGCGTTTTGAAGGTTCATGTAATGCTGGCTTCCTCTCAGAAGGGAGCTCAAAATGAGAACTCCCCGTGCCGAATGGGGTTATAAACTGTAAAACGGCACGAGCGGTATTCTTTTTTTTCCTCCCTGTTTCACTGAATTCTAGATCCAGTTACCAAAAAAAAAAGGGAAAAAAAAGGGAAAAAAAAGGGATTTTTCTATCTCTTAGTACAGTAAATTCATTTCACCATACTATGCTCCCTTTGTTTTGTATCTCATCATCCGTACCAAAATGTTACTTGACACTAATTGGCATCCTTGTTGGCAGAACCAGCAGAAAGACTCTCAACTGTGCAGGAGTAGAGAATAAAACATTTTCCTGCCCTAAAGGCAATCTTTTGCTAGCAGTAGTGTTTGATATCCACAATATGGAATAAAATAAAGCTTGCTCTACTATTCTTATGAAGTATTTATTACCTTGCCTAATGCAATAGAAAGTAATAGAAATAGTTGCGTCAAGTTGCCAATCTCAGTAGTAATTTTCCAGCCACAACTGAATTGTGCAATTTATTTTTACTGATACTGACTTTCATTTCAATTACTCAGAGAAGCTCTATTCTGCAGCTGAGGTACTGTATTCAAAACAGCTTCCTGTCACATTTATCTTCACTTTAATTGGTCAGACACAAACCAGGTTTCACACAGGAAACAAACACTGATGCTAATTTTAAAAAGGAAAACAGTGGTTTAAGAGGAATTGTATAAATGCTGTAAAAACATCAAATGTTTCAGTTTAAAAATTATCTTCCTGATCTCTTTGGGCATATATAACTATACACATTTCCCCTGCCATACATGAAAATGATGAAACGTGCTTAAGTGCTGAATTGCTTCCTTCCAAAATCCCACTGATACATACAAATCGTAACCCACAAACCACCATTTTCACAAATAGGAGCCAGATGTCCTTTCCTATGGACTGGTACTCCCAAGTACTATGGAATAAAAAAAAAAAAAAAGTAAGTAGCAGGTTATTATGCACTGTGCATTTCTTGAAGGCTTGTGTTGGCAGAGTAATTGCCAGTAGTTGTTCTGCATTTGTGAACACTGATGGGCTTTGCCAGAATACAGGAATAAAGATTCTGCAAAGAATTATAAACATGGTGGTGCACATTCAATAAGGGCAGGGACAAAAGGTGCACAGAACACAATTCTCACCTGTAGAAAAGCCCATTTCTAGTATGGTGAGGTATGTAGAGCTTATTATTATATTCTTCTTCTTATATCTTGCTATTAACAGAATAGACTTTCCTCCAGGAGACTGGATTTTTCCTAGTTCTTCATATGGTAATGGTGAGACAGATTAGCTACTGTGGCCAAAATTCATGTGCAGCAAGAGAAGAAGGAGGTTCTCTGCCAGCTCCAGGGTAGATCAGACCGAAGTGAGGATGGGTTGGGGGGCAGGCACAGGAGAGCATGAACACCCACACACAGCCACAGCCCTTGCTCAGTCTGGAAAACAGAGATACTGAGATGTCCAAGGAGGAAAGAGGGTGTCCACAGAGCTCTTTCTGACATCATTATTTGGCTCATACTTGGTTACGGCACTTGCTGTAGCACTTACCCTGCACCTGCAGCCCCAGCAGCAGAGCACCACTGACATGACAGGCTAAGTCCTCCTGTCCTCCTCCGAGGACTTGTTGGGTATGAAAGCTGGGGGGATGCAGAAACATCAGCCTGCCTTGCAGAAAGGTTTAAGATATAGAATCTCAAACGATAAATACCTTCCATTTTAAAATCTGGTTGATACTGTTAAGAGGAACCTATGCCTTCTTAAGATAGCACCTGCACTTTGCAAGATGAGTATTTGCATTTCCTCTGTGGCAGTGACCAAACCATAGCACATTTAGAAATACTTTTCAACATGTTGTGGAGTGTAAACACTTAGCGATTGCCCTGCACTGCAGACAGTACTGCGTATGCTGCTCTCGCAGTCAGGGGTGGAAAAAATCTCTTTTGGAGATGACTGGCTAGCAGCTATCTTCTTTGAAACATTTTATCAGTGCTAAGATTTTATAATGATAATAAATATGTGGGAAGATGTCCTAGACATGATATGTGTCTTCTGCCCCCACCTCCCTTTAGAATACCTTTCAGCTTTAAAAAGTTTGAGTTAATTGCCCTTGGCCAGACCTGGTGCATTCAAGGCACGCGCATGTTCTGCAGGCTTAGCACAAAAGCAGGTGCTTACCCCCTCTCAAGAGTTAATCTTTTCTCAGCAAAACTCCACTGTGCAAATTACTTTCGGAGATGAAAACAAACATTTTGTAGTGACTTAGTGAGAACAGTAAATATTGACTTATGCTATCTTCCTGTTTCTGCAAAAAGTCTTAAAACATATATTTAATTATCCCTATTCTTTGCAAGGACTCTGTACCTTTATGCAGCAAATTTCCTTTACAAAGACAATCAGTGCATTTAATTTTAAGCATCAAGGTACATGATGCAGTTGAAAGTTTGCTATAATTGTGGAACTAGATTAAATATCTAACAAAGTATTATTTCTTTTGCGTTTGTTGAAAAGCTTTCCCTCTCATCTAAAATTTCTGTAAAGTGTAAAGTAGGTGTTGTTACATTTATTTTAGACATCTAATTGCTTATGATTAGCTGACATTTCTTACTTTGTAAGAGAAAACTTGCCATACATGTGAAACACACACTTCTTCCTTAACTTGAGATTTCTCTCTGGAACGCCTTTTCTTGGCAATATCAACCACAAGTAGCAATTTGTAAGTGCCATTGAACCATCCCATAAATCTTTGACTTAAATGGTCATGTGTTTTCTCCTCCAAAATTAACACATAGATTTTTTGTATAGTTTTTCTTGTTGTTCTAACACCTGGATCACATCAGCTGTTGGATACATCCAAGCATTCATTGTGTAT